AAGATCAGAAAAGGCTTCATGTAGAAGGTGACACTTGACCTGAATCTTGCCGAAGTAAGGGTTTCTAAGCGGAGGTGAGAAAGGAGTATCTTCCAGACGTGGGGAACAGTCAGTGCAAAGGCATGAAATCTAGGGATGAATTGTCATGTCTGAGGAATAGCAAGAAATCCGGTTTGGCTTGATTACAGAGTGTATGAGGGGAGAACCGGGTAATAAAGCTGGAAAAGTAGGTTTGGAGCTAGGTTATGAGGGATTTCAATTGCCAGGCAGAAGAGTTTATATCTGAATGGCACAGAAGATAAAATGCAGGATTTGGAGTCAGGAAGACCTGGATTCAAATCTCACCATAAACACCGACTGGCTGTGTGACTCTCGGTAAAATCACTTAATTTTTCAGTAGCTTGGGTTTCTCACATGTGGAAGCTAGACTTGGTGACCTCTAATATCCCTTCTAGTTCCAAATTGAGCAGCGAGGTGGTGCAGTGGATAGAGTGCTGAGTCAGGAAGCTTTGTTTTTGTGACTTCAAATCAAACCTCAGATACTTAGTAGCTGTGTACCCTGGGCAGGTCATTTAACTTTATTTGCCTCAGTTTCCTCATCTGTAAAATGAGCTGGAGAAGGAAATGACAAACCATTCTGGTATCTTTGCCAAGAAAACCTCAAATGGGGTCACAGAAAGTCAGACACGACTGAAAAACAACTTAAAGTTCCAAACTAGGATCCTACTGCCAAAAGGCAACAGGGAGGCCCTGGAATTTATTAAGAGAATGACACAATTGGACCTGAGGATGGATTGGTACAGGTTGAGAGTTGAAGCAGGATGACAGATTAGGAGGATGCTGTAACAGTTCATGTGAGAAAGGATGAGGGCCTCTCCTGGGTTAGTGGATATGTAAGTGGAAAGAGAACAGATGTGGATAATGTTGAGGCAGTAGATACAAGATTTGGAAAGTGACTGGATAAATGGAGTAAGGGAAAGGAGATGAGGTTGACACACAGGTTGTGAATCTGGGTAACTGGAAGCACTGTTGTGCCCTTTATGGAAATTCAGAAGAGGAGTGGCCTTGAGAAAAATGAAATGAGCTGTTTTGGACATAATGATTTGATATGCTTATGGGACATCCAGTTCAAGAGTGTACACAATAATGATAGCTTGAAATTATAGAGTATTTTACAAACTATTAAGCATTTTCCTCATGACAGACTTGAGGTAAGGAAGGCAGAGTTTATTATACCTATTTTATAGAAGAAAAGGTTGATGCTAACATTAAATGATTTGCTCACAGTTACATAATTTATCAGTATCAGTTCAAACCGAGACTCAAAGCTAGGTGGTTTTGTCGCCTTTTCCTTGCAGAAAAAAAGTGTATTTGGAGTCAGAAGACCTAGTTTCAAAGTCCAGTGTTGCCACTTTACATGAGAGAAAGTCACTGACTGCTCTGGGCGTCGTCCACAGGTGGATGTCAATTGAGTCAAATTACCCCACTTAAACTAATAAGCAGATATGCCTTGAAATCCACCTTGAAAAATACCCCTGCTAAGCCAATCAACTATAGTTATGAACTAGGTGTGAACAGGGGTAGACATTCCCATTCAATCAAACAATCAAAGACATTTCAATTAGGAGCTGATAGGAAGTCTGTTGGGATTGGTTGAAAAGACTCAGTTATGCCACTGGGGATGGTATAAAAATAGCAAGCTAGTTTGGCATCAGGGATCATCATCATTTGGCATAGTACTTGCCACACAGTAGTCAATAAAGGTTTACTGACTGATATTAACTTTTTTTGGTTAAAAAATTTTATCATAAATATCATCAAATTGGAGATCTGAGCATCTGACAGCTTAGGGTAGAAGCCCTTGAGAAGGAAGGAATTGTCAGGAGGTGAAGGGGAGAACACCTGGGCCTCCTCCTCCTGTGAACTTTAGAGGGCTTTATTTGGACTCTTTCATGGGTGTCCTAGCAACATCCCTAGTACAGTAGTACATAACAGCAGAGTCTGCACCAGGAGCTGACTACGGACTAGATATGCTGAAGAAAGTCAGCTTCCACTCTCCACTCTTCCAATTCTCCACAAGAAACCTAGCAGAAAAGCTACAACATCCCTAATGGAAACCTCATGAGTACCTCACAAAAGGTGAGAAACAGACTTTAAACATCCAAGAGCTATGAGTTAAACTTTGGCCATATGTGGTCTCAGCTTGAGCCCACATTATCCTGGACTCTGGATATACTTGTGGGATACTGTCATAGACTCATGGAGGGATGTTTCATACTAAATGTTCTTACCATATCACCTTAGTACAAAGATAAATGGCTCCTATCTAAGAGTGAATTAAGTCTGGCTGACTAATTGATATCAACTGATAATCATGGGGAAAGCATATTCCCCCAAGGAGTGGGGACTCATGAGCCTAGAAAGACACACTCCCAGCCCCTCAGGATTAATTCCTAGAAGCCTGAGAAGTAGCAGTTGAGCTCTAAGTGAAGAGGTTGGATTAGATGACCTCTAAGACCTCTTTCAGCTCTAAATCGATAACTCTTGTCACTGGCCTGGTATAATTTTGTTATTTAATATCTCTGGGCTTTAGTTTTTTCATTTATGAAATTATGAGGTTGGGATTAGATCCAATAGATTAACTTATAAAGTATTTGAAAGCTTACAAAGCATTTTGCTCCTAATATCCCTGTGAGATAGGCAAAACAATTATTTTTATTCCCATTTTTACAAATGAGGAAACTGAGGGTCAGGAAAACTAAGTGACTAGTCCATGGTAATACAACTAGAAAGTGTCCAAGCCAGGATTCAAAACTCAAGTCTACTACCTCCAAGTTCATTGCTCTTTTCATTCTACCTATACTGTTTCTAATTGATCGTTATGGTCTTCTTAAGAAACACATTTCAAGAATTCTATGGAAAAAAATCTCCAAACAAACTTTAAAAAGCAATCTCCAGTCAGGACAATGGCTTCATCATGGCCAAGGAACATAACATAATCATTGCATATTTTTATAAATAGCCTTTTTTTTTTTTTGAGAAACAGTCAAGGACAGAAGATAAAATGATTTTCAAGAATTGAGATCTGAAAGGTTTTAGACCACTGATATCTCTGGCATACTTGTGAACACTGGAAATGAATGAGTTTTTATTAACACCATCAGGCAGGACATTTTATAACCCCAGGTTCAAGTCTACAAATGTTCCTGCAACCATCAATGTCATAACTTGTACTAAAATAATGTAGGTCTCGAGACAATGAGCTTGGAGAAATGATAACTCTAACAAGGAGGCACTGTCACTGGAGATTAGAAAATGTGGTAACACTGCTGCAACATTGGAGTACCTAATTACCTTTTTTTTTTTTTTGAGGCAACTGGGGTTAAGTGACTTGCCCAGAGTCACACAGCTAGTAAGGGTTATGTGTCTGAGGCTGAATTTGAACTCAGGTCCTCCTTACTCCAGGATCGGTCCTCCAATCCACTGTGCCACCTAGCTGCTGCCTAATTATCTTTAAGAATTTGCTCAAAGTATTTGGGGGAGAACAACCTATAATAACAATATTTTGTAAATTCAGGCATGAAGATGAATAGGATTTTATTTTAGAAAGATTACTTAAAATATAACTCAAGAGAGAAAAAATGTAGATTTATAACACTTCCTTTCCCGCCTCCTTTCCTAAAGAAGCAAGAATTAGGTTATAGAAACTTGAGCACTAAATCTAAATTTATGCCAAAGAGCAGACTATCAGCTTGGTTAGAATGCCAGTATTTTGTTAATGTTGAAAGGACATGGAATAGAAGCAAAGGATGGATAGATTTTACTTATTGTATCTTTTAATATAATTTTGGCTAACCTAAACTAGGGAACAATAAAAGGCTAGGTGTAAATCCTTGAAGTACATTCTTAAACCCCTATTCAAACGATTTTTACCAGAGTCCTAGATTAGAATAATCTAGGAAATGATTTTCATGATTTGGACAATACCTAACTATCTCAGGAAATCCAGATGACCCTTTGTTAAAAAAAAAAAGATAAAACTGATAAAAATTTAATTTAATTTTAAAAAAAGATAAAATATTCTGGCCATTCTGTGAGGAAGGTGAGTAGGAGAGTTTACACACACAGAAAAAAATAAAGTCCATGTCAAAAAAACTCTGTTCTAACTGAAGAGCACAAGGAAGAACCTTTCAATATTATTCAATCAATATTAATTGTTTAATGAACTATAGCATAGAAAACCCTATTCTAGGGATGATTGGGGGGGTACAAAAGAAAGAGAGTACAATCCTTTTTCTCAAAGAGTTTATAATCTAATAAAAGGTAGAACATATTCCCATTAAACCAATGAAAAGTATTTTTACAGAGCCACAGAACAATGAATGCAAATTAGATATTACACAGTAACTTGTACATAGTAAGTACTTGGTACCTGTTTGTTGAATTAAATGCAATTTCGTGTGTTCACTGTACTTAAGTGCAGAAGAAATAAATCAGGTTTTTGATTAGTTATGGAAAGTTTCTTTGAAGATGGTTGGTAGAGGTGAATTACTGGAGGGAAAGATATTGAAAAGCCTGGTAATTTGGGGGATTGGGAGAGACAGAAGAAGGAGTGGGAATGAAAAGCATATAATTCTGGATTGTATGGAAGGTTGATGAAGGAAATATGTTGTGGGGTAGTGAGCTGAGGTTAGCTAGAAAGGGCCTTAAATGCTGGACTGGCAAACAATTTATCTAAATGAGTCTCGGTAGTCTTGCACAGAGAAAATTCATAAAGACTATCAGTCAGATAATGATGTTCCCTGACTGTATATGTTCCATCTAAGTAGGTTTAAAAAGATGTCTTGGGATCCTTAAACCATTCTAATTCTGCAGTATCAACCCACTGTAAAATTCATTTTAAAAGAAAGGAACCAATACAAGCAAGGAAAGTGACTACAATGATACAGAAATAAACTAAAAAACAAAACTAAAAAACAAAAAACCACCACCACCAAAGCTTGGAAAACACAAACACGTTTATTGGTGGTATTAGTCAATACACAGAATAAGGTCTACAAAGAGCATAGCACTTAGAAGGACACATTACTCAATCTGTAACTTTTAAAAATGCAACATATCTGAGAACCAACTATGCACATCTTTGCTGATTTGCAAAGCATTCATTCTGAATATCTTTCTAATTAGGTTTTAAAGGATTCCAGTTTAGGGTTATTTCTAGTTTTCCTGCATTTATGCCAACTAGGATGGTTTTATTTGCATCTAACTTAAAAATAAGCCTATGTACAAGCCTATTGTGAAGCAGTAACTTTATCAAAAAATTCAGACAGATCTTTAAGTAAAGATAAAAACCACATAAAGCAGCCTCAATCTGGACACAGAAATATAAAACTAAAAACCATATGAAGACATAAAAAGAATAAGAGAAGCAAAATGCATAATTTTATTCTACAGTTTCTAATTCTAGAAAACACTTCAATTAGCAGTAGCTTAGGTACCTTTGTTCTAAGACATAAAACCATTAGTTTGCTCAAAACAATTTTCTCATTTCTTCCAACGAATAATTTTCAACCCTTCAGATTCCTTTTCTTAGCGACCTAATAATATGATTTATAACATTCCAGAATTATTAACAAATGGGGCCTTCAGCCTTACTGCTGAAGTTGCAATATGGTTTGGGGGCCAGCTATGAATTTACATATCATACCCATCCACAAAATGTTTACAATACCCAGGACAATACTGTTCAGCAATGCTAACTCAGAAATATCCCAACACTATGTGCCATCAGAGAACTACTGACATTGAAGGGATTGTTATGAAAATAATAACAAGGCCTCCAAACAAGATCATAAACAAGAAGATGAAAACATTACATGGTACAACTGTGAAAATGTAACTGTCTTATAAGATGAAGTTTATCACTAAAATAATAGCACTGCAGAATTAAACTGACAGCCAAATATTTTGCACCACAATCTTTTTTCCTCCAACCATTAAGAAGAAAATGGGTTTTCTGACATATTTTTGATGAATACGAGGCTTTTGAAATGAAACGCCAGAGAAAAAATAGGAAATCAAACAGGGAAAACTTAACTTTTCAAGCTTGTTTTGCATAGATACCAAAGCAGCCTGAAAATAAAAAACAAACTAAACAGCACAACCACCCCCTCAAAGACACTATAACACCATTAACACAATATTACCTGAAAAATAAATAAACATAAGATTGACTCAATCACTTCTAAAGGAACAAAAAGTAAGGATTGAAATGTAGCTCATTCCCAAAGCTTTGTTTGGTTCGTGACTGAACAAGAAAATATCTGAGTGGGTCCAGACATGTGGCTTCATAGCTGTGGGGAGCTCCTGGTAGTCCAAGAGTACAGATCAGCAATTTATCCATAATGCACAGTCTTAGCTAAATGGGGTAGTGAGGGGGTAAGTGGTTTGCTCATGGTCACCCAGTCAATAAATGTTAGATTAAGGACTTGAACCAAGGTCTGCCTGACCTGAAATATTGGCCTTCTATCTACCTGGATCACAGATTTAGAGCTGGAAGGGATTTTAGAGGTCATTGAATCTAACCCCTTCATTTTACAGATGGGGAAACTGACGCCCAAGGTAGTTAGGTCATCTTCCTCAGGGTCACACAGCTAGTGTCTGAGGCAGGATTGGAACTCAAGTTTTCCTGATTACAGGTCTGGCACTCCATCCATTGTACCACCCAGCTGCCTATCTGCCCATGTTACCTCTCAATGTGTTATAAAGGATAGTATAGATGCTATCAGTTTAAAATATGAGTTTTTCATCCTTCTTTCCCTCCTTCCACTAGAGAATGTAAGTAAAATGTTTCAAAGGGGGAAAATGCCTCAATGAAAATACCTTATATCATATCAACTTTTTTTTTTAAAAAACTTCATTTAATTGGTCCTTGTGACAAGATAAGATTTCTAGATTAACAATTATTAGTCATCTTATTTTCATTCTTTATTAATGCTTATGTTTTACCAGAATTGGTTGCTGCTAATCCTAGCCTGTACTAAAATGTTAGCACGTGTCAGAGGTAGCTTTCAAATACTTTAAACTTTAGAACAGTTAATTCAAATTAATAAATCTCCCTTCCTAAAGAGTAACAATACACCAAATAGTGTAAAAGCCAAATAATATGGTGCTAGCTCTGCACTAGGAGAAGCATTTTGGAAAACTCAGAACACAGTTGAGAAGCAGGCAAGGGGCACCTGCCTTCTTTCCAAGACTAATGCACGAGTTCAGGTTGATTTTCCACAAAGGGAAGAACACCACTGACATAGTATGCAATTCCAAGAGAAAGTAGTGCAATGACAACAATCAGAAGCAACACTCTCCAGAAGCCCAGATCCTCCACAAACTCCTGCCATGTGGTTCGGAAGCTTGAGAATACTCCTTCACCTTGTTGTAAATTGGGATTAAGGAGAGAATGGCTTTCCATGGCACTGCAAAAGGAATAAAAATATAAATGAAAGTTATAAAAGATAAGGCAATGTATTCTTTAGTTATTCTAAATATCTCAAATAGCAAGAACTTTTTTTCTCCACACCACAACTCCTGTGAAAAGGACAGCAAATCCAACTTGCTAATACAAACAGACAGACACACAAACACACACACACACACACACACACACAAACACCACAATTGTGTCTATAATTACTTTCTACTCATGTATGGATTTACTATTTTTAGTCTGCCATCTGTGGACCCAAAACGTGTGTTGGCACCAGCAAAGTCTACACTGGATAGTAAATTGTTACAGGACAAGGATTTTTCGTTTCAGATGAAGGAGTCACAATCAGACATACTAGAACAAACCAAAGAACAATCTAACAAGGACACTAAGCAAAGATATATTTAGCTCATCTGTTTTATGTATAATTTTAATCATGATTTCACGTTTATATGATTATCTGTTTTGTTGATGGTTATTACATTTATAATAAAATAAAATTTTAAGGAGTTTTCCAACAGACTCTAAACCAAAAATAAAATTTAATTTTCAATAAGAAGATATTTCAATGAAATGTCAACTCATGGATATTCATATTCTAACCTGTGTCGGAAATCACAGGTCAGGAATTAGCTAATGTCCTTCTTAAAAATGTGGCACACAAACCTGAACACAATATGCCAGAACACAATATGACCAGGCCAGGGTAGAGGGTAATTATTATCTCTTTGCTTTGGATTCTAAGCATCTATTAATGCAGCCTAGGAGATCCTGTGGTTGTGATACCGAAACTAAAGATGTGCAATCCCTCCACATTTTTAATGAGAATCTACACAGAAATTTTTAAAAGCTCAAAATTAAATTCTACCTCCAGAAAAGCCCTAAAAACAAATGGATAAAGAAGTTTAGGAAGGAGAACTCTGTTAAACCTTAATACAAAGTTTTAAGAGGACAGAGTAATCCAGGGGCCAGATCAATGTCATTTAATACATCAGAGCTAGTGGCCAACAATTCTAAGTCAAGAATTAGGTATGAAAAATAAAGATTCTGCTGAACTGTCTCCACAAAGGCATGGAGCTCCAATTCCTTTAGGATTTCCTTAGACAACCATTTTCAGAAGTTGGTTTTCCATCAAAAATATCTTATATTTTCCATGGCATATTCAGCTGTACTATAAGGGTGAAAATTTGTAATGTCTGTTGCTTACTTTCTCAAGTCACCCATATAAGAGTCAAAAATAAACTGTAAGATTAAAAATGCTGAATATATTAAAAATGTTGAAGTACTTTGAGTGTGACAACCTGTCCTAGATTTTGAGACCCTTGTGAGATGCTATTTCTTAGCTACCATATTCCTGAGGTAATGGAAAATGCTGTATAAAAGAGTTTGGCAAATTAGCTCACTCTAGTTCAAAGAAACAAGTTAAACTTTTCGTGATTTTGTGAAACCTCTGTAGCAACGCTGTGCTGTTAATCCCCCATGTTAGTCAGTCCCCTGGCTTTATTTTTAATTTAAGAAGAAAACCAAGGGCTTAAAAATCCATTGATTTTAAAAAAGAAATTATGAAAAGCAGAGTTCAAATATAGCTTTTGCTAGGAATAAAGTGAGGTAGAAACATATGCCTTATAGTAGGCAGACTTTTTAAAATTACAGGTCTTTTTTTTCTTTTTCCATTAAGTACTGCATAGTAATAAGATTAAATTTCAACTGTTGCAATATTACCGTGAAGGACAAGGATGGAGTAGGCAAGTCAGATAACACAGAGATTGATTTAATTTTTTCAAATGTTAATATATTATCTTAGCAACGTACATATCTACAAGTAAGGGAGAACAAATTCTCACTCTGAAGCTAGTTGAAGATTTTATTAAAAGGTATTTAAAAGAACAGGAGTCCATACATCAAACAGCTACTCAAACTAACTAATCACCTTCTGGTTAATAAATAATCACAAAAGAGTTAAAGTAAAGTTCAAGATAAAGAGGTCCTAAGTAGCCCTTAATGGATCAAATAAAAAGTTCCTAATACACACTAAACAAACCATACTTTAGCTACTTTCTAACTAATATTAAACAAAGTTGGCATAGTGTCTTTGAATTATTTTAGAAGAAGATTATCACAGTTGCCAGAGGTCACCATTTCTAACAAATAATGAAGACATGATATAATGTTATTAATGCACTTATATGGCATTCTGGCCATAAGGTATAGATCACTGACATTATTTTATGTACAAGACAAGCTTAAATCAGTAAGCTATAGGAGATTTATAGAATTTTAGAACTGAAAGGGACCCTTAGAAATCATCTAGTCTGCATTTTCCAACCTGAACAACACCATAAACAAATAAAACTCCTAAATTCTCTGACTGCCCTTCTCCTTTGCCTTAGAAAAATGGCTTGGGGATGGGAAACACAAATTTAGAGACAAGAAAGGAGTCCAGAGTAGGAGAAGCAATAGGCAATATACAACATGCAGGCTCAAGGAATATTTGTTGTTGGTTTTTTAATGTACAGTTTTAATGAAGGATGAAATCAGTGGTTAATAATCTTGTCAGCTTTCTTCTTTTCCTAATGAAAAAGGTGAAGCCCAGGTAAATTAACTAATGTGATTATGATTTTTGACCAAGATCATATGGCTAGTTAATGATAAAGTCATAAGTAGACTGAGACTTCAAATATTAAGGCAAAGATAAATAGTTAAGATATTCACCCTCAAATTAAGGTGTGAGGAATATGTGATCTTTTGTTTTCAAATCAATTAAGAGCTGAAGTCAACTTAAGGGGTACCTGAGGTGACTGTTTCTTGGCACCTTTCTCTTCTGGCCACATAGGCCAGGGGCAGAATCACTTAGGCTCTAAATAGTTCAGGAAGCTCCTTTCTCAATTTCCATTGGAAGGCAGCTGTATTCTCCCTACTTGATTTTTATTCTTTCTATTTTCTCTCAAGAGAGAGATTATAGGGGCAGCGAGGTGGCGCAGTGGATAGAACACAGGACCTGAAATCAGGAGGACCTGAGTGCAAATGCAGCCTCAGACCAAACACTCGACACTTAATAGCTGTCTGACCCTGGGCAAGTAACTTAACCCCAATTGCCTAAAAAAGGGAGAGAGAGAGACAGACAGACAGACAATGGTAGATCCATCTTTAAAGAAAGAGATAAAAAAAAAAATCCCAACCCAAACCCAAATCTATATCACCAAGAAAAGAAGACAGAGATAAGAATGTGACCAGTTTGACTGTTTACTTTGAGACTAGCAAAGCAAAAGAGGACAAAGGAGTGTTTCACTTCAGAAAGTACAGGATAAAGGATTGTTTTATATTTCTAGTTGGCCTTGACTTCTTTGTTTTGTATTATTTGTGAGGTGTCAGTTTTCAGTGATTACTCATTGGGGGTTTCCTTCTAGAAAACTAACCTTCAATTTCTTTATAAGAGCACTCAGAGAGTAAGGTTCTGAGTGCTCTGACAGTACTTAAATGAAACAAACTAATGTTTGGGGGTGGTGTTAATGGTCCCCAGAGGGAACACACTGGCCAACCTGGAGATGGAGAATAGGAAGCAAAGTAAAGAGGGAATAAAGTAAAAGTGGAAATGGTGGATAATTTGTAGAAAATGGCATTATTTGGAGAAAACTTCTGGAGAGAGAAAATGAAAATAGTCCCTATTTTCACAGGGAAGGATTTTAACAAGTCTAATGAATAGACCAAATGGCAATAAGCCCAAATTCTGGGTATAATTCTACTGAAAATTTGAGGAAAACATGTGGAGAACATTTCTTTTTTGCCTTGTAGTTTACTTTAAATTACTCAAAAGACTACTGAAATTAAACAGGTTTCTGTTAGAGCCTTCTCTTGGAATCAATGGAGCCAGTGAAGTTGGGAGAAAGGGCAAAATCTCCTTATGCCCTTGCCCTATCTCCTGATCTGTTTTTGTCAATTAACATAATATAGGAGTTGTTCCTAAGTCTTCTAAGTCACAACCTCAATGCCTCTGGTGACTGAAGATGCTGAAAGTCAACTTAAAATAACTAGATGTTTTTTAAAAGCACATACTTCTTCCTTATCTTGAAATTACCAAAGAATCATGAAATATTAAAGCTGAAAAGAGCCTTAGACACCATCTAGTCTAACCTCAGCTGACAGATCAAAATGGGGAGTTAATACCCAAGCTAAGTAAGGAGAGGGTAAGGCTGCCCTTGAATTCAAGTCACTTGGCACTCAACTACATCCTTACATCGTAAAAGAACTGTCGGAAAAAAAAAAGTGGCAGATTTGACTGCTAAGTTACTGCCAGTGACTTGTGAAAGATCATGGAAAACAGGAGAGGTACCACAGACCAGAGAAAGGCAAAAGCTGTCCAGTTTTCAAAAAAGAATAGTTTGCAAACTATAGGCCAGTAATCTTGACTTCCATTCCTGGGAAGATTCTAAAGTAGATTATTTAAAAGATGGTTGGCAAGCACCCAGAAAGAGTGATTACAAAGAGCTAAGATGGCTTCATCAGAATAGCTCATGTCAGACTAATCTTATTTCCTTTTCTTTAACAGGAAAATTGTAACTGGAGGTAAAAAAGAAGGATGTGGGAGACAAAGCAATCAGAGCTATGTACTTGAGAAATCAAATACAAGAGCTCACAAAATTTTAAACCCCAAATGATCTACAGGCTGACACTAATTTTTTTTTTCTTATTTTTAAAGTTACTTCAGCATTCTTCCAAATACCTTTCACTTTCAGCAGTCTGCATGGTCTCCAGCTTAGAATGGGCTCCTCTGTTAAAACCTTTCACTTCTTGCTCTTCCAATGACTCCAGCAATCGGATGACATCTTTATTCACTCCCCTTCGCTTTGCCAGTACCAGGGGTGTTGCACCTTGGTGGTTGCTTTAATTGGGAGAGAAAAAACCCAAAAAACAAAAGCCTTAGAATAAGAATAATAAATGGGCAAAAGTTTGATTCTATTGTTAGCATACATTTGATAAAGATCTAATGGAACATTCCTACTTTACCAATTTAATTAACAAACATTCATTCAGTAAATATTTATTGAGTGCTTGTTGTAGGTTAGAGCTAAAGGAAATATATGATTCTTCTCCTCAAGGAGCTTATAATCTAGTAAAGGCTGGAAAAAGCAGATATACAAGTAATCATAATATTATGTAGAATGAAATAAGTGGTACAAGAGAGTTACAATGTATTCTGGGAATATAAAAGAAGGAGAGAGATTATTTCAGGCTAGGAGAATCAGAGAGGAGTGGGTATTTAAGTTTTGAAGTATGGGTAAGATTTTGGCTAAGGAAGCCAAAGTGAAAAGCATTAATTGTAGATAATACAGCGTAAGAAAAAGCAGGGAGTTTGTAAAGCAAAGGGTTATATATAGATTGTTCAGTTTAGCTATAATAAAAAGTGCATAAAGGGAAGTAATGAGAAATAAGGTTTGAAAGGAAGTTTAGAGAAATGGTTTTATACTAAATTCAGGAATAAGGACATTATTCTGCAGGCAATGAGTTGCCACTTAAAACTTTCTATTGTACATTCTATAATCAAGCTTCAATCTGAGTAATTAATTATCCAATACTGCTCCTAAATGAAATCCTGTCAATATATGAAAAACGTGATAAACAAAGAGGGAGCTAGGTGGTTCAATGGCTACAGTGCTGGGCCTATAGTCAGGAAGACCTGAGTTCATATAAAACTTACTATCTGTTTGACCCTAGACAAATTATTTAACCTCCGTTTGCCTTAATCCACTGGAGAAGAAAATGGAAAACCATTCCAGTATCTTTGCCAAGATAATCCCATATCGGGTCATGAAGAGTTGGACACAACTGAATGACCAAACAACAACAATGTGATAAACATATAAGTTCTGGTAAGTCAGTGAATAAACACCATTAAATAAAGCAAAATGATAACTCCTTTTTTAGGAATTTATAAAAAACTCAAAAGTCTTAAATTCTTTCATACTTGTAATGATCATTTTACAAGGATATTTATGCCATATTAAAAAGTCTAAGAATAAAGTAACTCAGGCAACTAGAACTGCTTCAGTTCAATCAACTATTGATTTGATATCCAATAAGTCTGCCTGAAGACTGCTCTTTTACTTCTAAATGAAAAGCAAAGGACACTTGAAAACATCACTATCCAAACAAAACACATTGTTCCTAAAGATTTCTCCACTTCCCACTGGAATAAAAAACAAAAACAAAATACCACTTCAGATAACCGAAAGGGACCACTGAAAGGTCACCTTGGAAGAGAACATAGTATGGAGGAACTAAAAAAAGAAAGCATTTATAGCATTCTTCTTATAACAGTGGTGAGCAAGGCATGATTCTGGGCTAGAAGACTAGACGTGGAAGTGGTTAGTGATTTATTTAGTATATGCCCCCACCAGATGGCCAGCCAAACCAACAAAAACAACATCAACAAGACAGAAACTGAACCAGAGAAACAATCACAGCTAATTCCCTTCACTTCTTGTTCCATAGCTCTAATGGAAAAAGAACCACTTACAGCTTTTCTCTGATTTAGAATATTAAAACAGATGACAATGCAGCAACAGTTACAGAAATAGACTTGTACAAAGATGAAACTTAAAATTCAAACTCAATCTAAATGTAGTCTGACACCTATCACGCCCTGAGATCAGCCTAACATTAAGGAATCACATCACAGAATCATAGAATGTTGAGTGCTAGAAGAAACATTGGAGACCACCTAATCCAATTATCTCACAATCAGATGAGGAAACTGAAAACCAGAAGGTTGAGATATTTGCCCAATCACAAAGCCAACTGACAGCACAGCACCAACCAATCAGAGAATGTGGCTTTGAGTTCCAGTTTTGCCACTCCCTACCTGTGGACAAATCTCTTCACTTCTAGGATCCTTGGTTTCCTCATTTATAAAATTAGAGGGTTGACTGAGATATCACTAAAGTTCCTTTCATCTCTAATGTACTGTGCCATATTATCTGAGTCATAAGAAGACAACAAATCTCATTAACATGTCTTGCTATTTTCACATGAAAAACTTCATAACTTATCTAGATATAAGACCAATGGCTCCCAAAATTTTCTGTCACAATAATTCTGTTGCCAAGGCTTTAATTTTGGTAATTAAATCAGACAATAAAATAAATAGGCTTGGATAAGAAGTGTTCAATTGTGGGCTTACTAATGGTGGGGGAAAGGATTGTGTGTGTGTGTGTGTGTTCTTTTATTTATTTTTTAAAATTTAATATTTTATTTTTCCCCAATTACATACAAAAACAATCTTTAATGTTTGTTTTTTTTAAATTTTTGAGTTCCAAATTCTCTCCCTCACTGCCTCCTCTACCACCCTCATTAAGAAGGCAAGCAATTTGATATAGGCTAACATGAGCAGTCACGTAAAACATATTTCCATATTAGCCATGTTATGAAAGAAAACAGACAAAAAAAAGTAAAAGAAAGTAAAGAGAAAGTATGCTTCAATCTACATTCAGATTCCATCAGTTCTTTCTCTGGAGATAGCATTTTTATATCATTATCATTAGATCCTTCACAATTGTCTTGGTTCACTGTACTGCTGAGAATAGCTAAGTCATTCATAGTTGATCATCATACAATATTGCAGTTACTGTATACAATGTTCTCCTGGTTCTGCTCACTTCACTTTGCATCAGTTCATGTAAGTCTTTCCAGATTTTTCTGAAAGCATCCTGCTCATCATTTCTTATAGCACAATAGCATTCTATCACAATCATATGCCACAATTTGTTCAGCCATTCCCCAACTGATGGGCATCCTTTCAATTTCCAATTCTTTGCTACCACTTAAAGAAATGGTGCTATAAATATTTTTGTACATATAGGTCCTTTTCCTTTTATATCTCTTTGGGATAGAGACCTAGTAGTGGTTATTGTTTGGTCAAAGGGTATGCATGGTTTTATAGCCCTTTGGGCATATTTCCAAATAGCTACAGAATGGTTGAACCAGTACACATTAGTGTCTCAATTTTCTCACATCCCTTCCAACACTTGTCATTTTCTTTTTCTGTCATATTAGCCAATCTGATAGGTATGGAGTGGTAGCTCAGACTTGTTTTAATTTGCATTTCTCCAATCAATAGTAATTTTGGGCATTTTTTTCACAGGACTATAGATAGCTTTGATTACTTCATCTAAAAACTTCCTGTTCATATCCTTTGACCATTTATCAACTGAGAAATGGCTCCTATTTCTACAAATTTTACTCAGTTCTCTATATATTTGAGAAATGCGGTCTTTATCAGGGAAACTTGCTGTAAAATTTTTTCACAGTTATATTACTATGTATTTCCCTCCATCTTATTTTCCCCATTTATCCTACTCTCTCCGTTCACTCTGTTCATTCTCAAAAGTGTTTTGTTTCTGCCTTTTACCTCCCCCAATCTGCCCTCCCTTCTATCAGCCCCCCTCCCACCCCACTCTCTTATCCCCTTCACTTCCTACTTTCCTGTATAGTAAGAGATTTCTATACCCAACCAAGTGGGTATGTTATTCCCTGTTTGAACCAATTCCTATGAGAATAAGGTTAAAAAAAAAAGGATCTTTAAAAGTACCAATGCACTTACCAAATGTCAATTTTGAGTCCATTGGAAACAAGGAATTGTATAGTATCCACGTGACCACAGAGGTGAAGGGCTGTGTTTCCTTGGTAATCCGTGGCCAGAAGATCAGCACCAAATTTGTGCAACAATTGGCAGATGTCTACATTTCCTCGGGCTGCAGCAAGGTGAAGGCCTGTTCGGCCTCTACTATCACGAATGTTTGGATCAAAGCCACTTTCTAATAGCCTCTTGGAATAGTTAAAATCCCCATCGATACAAGCCTGCAGCAGAGGCACGTTTGTTTGAGAAGAATCATTTACAAAAACGTAGGACATTGCTCTGATTGGGTGGAGGTGATAGGTAACCTGCAATTATAAATGAAGCAGGTAAGACTTGCTGAGCTGAACTAAGTCAAAGCAGTCAAATACTTTTGATGTTCCATTTCTTCTCAGCCTCGCCCTTTGTTTCTAATTTATTATCTTATCAAGTAAAAAGCACTGACAACTAATTCAAATTTTTTAGTACTTTAATAAAACAATATTTTCTTTTCAACATCTTCATACACAAAATTAGAACTACTTTGAAGTTCTGCTTTCAGTTAACCGCCATGACTGACTAAAAGGTGATCATTTTAACTAAGGCTCAAGATGTCAAATGTTTATGATGTGAGATTACATTAGAAATTCGCAAGAATGGGAAAGGTCACCTTTAAAACTCAAAGAGCTACCTAGTGAGACTCCTTCATTAATGTAATAAAAATACTAAAACTGAAAAGCAGCTCTTATTTAATGGAATAAGCCTCTAATGGGATTTCCTCTCATTTATCTGTTCCTGATTTACATTTGAACTACTTTATGTAATTAAAAGAGAGACTAGCCCAAAGTTAAGAGTGCAGCACTCAAGACCGAAGGGATTCATGTATTTGGTGTTAAAGGGGTTTGCCCTGCGTTCTTAAAGAGGGTGATGCCTAACAAAGCCCTGTTAGAACACATTCTAATGATTTAAAATGAAAAAATATTAAATCTGAAATAAGAAAACTGCAGAGAATAACTGGAGAAGTGCTTTGGTAACTATTTTCAAATATAAAAAAGGAGCTTAGGATTTTGAGTTGTTTGGGACCTTGGAAAACACCTACTCCAACACCTTTGTTTTACAGTTGAGGAAACTGGCTCTTATAAGCCACAAGGATCATAAACAACAGAGCCAGAATTCAAAACTAGGTCCAGTATTCCTTCCATTACACCACTGGAAAAAAGAAGGCAGATTAGCTCTCTGAAGAGAATTTTCAGGGAATCGTTTTAAAACACAATAAAGAACTAGGTAAGATTTTTTAAATGCATATTTTCTGGTTGTATATATCAATGAATAATTTAACAAGTTACTAAGGTAAAAGTATAGGATCTCAGTCATTAGCTATTTTAAGGAGAAAAAAGGATCCATCCATCTAGAATTGTTTGGGTACAGTTTTGCCCACAAGCAGGAGTATGAAGAAAATTCTTGACGTTCTCTCCAACCCTATAATTCTTAATTGTAATTTTTAAAAATAAGAAACATCAATAACCTCGTAGGGAATGCCTTCTTCCTAACCACCTCTGAGTGCTTTCAGCTAAGATTACATTTCTGGTACTTTGCAAACATGATTCTGAATTACATCATGAGGCCACACTACTTCTCAGCATGACCTCTTCTACTTTACTAAATTCAATGCTACTTTTATGTCTTGGGTTATTTTCTCCATTCCAACCTTTCGCACAAGCAATACCTAAAGCCATTTACTTAAAGTGTGAAATAAATGCAAAGCATACTGATTTGTTTATAAGGTAGTGATCTGAATGGTATCTTTTATACCTTACCAGGTTTATTTAAAATACCAGAGCTACAACCAAAAGGAACAGGTTGCTCCTAAGAATTAGAATAAAGAAGCATTGGAAGGAACTATGGTCATCAACTGGGTCCATTTTCTTCATTTGTATTGGTGAGGAAACCGAGGCCCAAGGTACAGTGGCACTGCTGGCAGCAGAACCTAATAGCCTTCTTAATGCCTAGTTTAGTGTTCTTTCCACTATACCATGTTTAAAACCAAAGGGGTAAAATGAACCTCAAGTATTAGGGATTTAATTTGATATGCTGTTGTTATTTTAAAACAATACCCTACCTACTGAAAGTAAAATACTTAAGACTTTACTGTTGTGTATTCTTTTTTGTGAGCTGATATGAGGACAACCCCTCCACTCCTCATCCTAATCTACTATTTACTGTGTACCTATGTGCAATGTACTACAGACAAAACAACCAAAAAGCTGCCCCTGCCCTGAAGAGTTTACCTTCTACAGCAGGGTTACCACATGTAAACAGATAACAGATAAGTGTATACATGATGATATGAGGAGCAAGAGAGAACTGACATCTAGGGTGATCAGGAAAGGCTCACCATAGGAGGTGGTTCCTGAATTAAGACTTGAAGGAGACTAGAAATTCTGAGAGGGAAGGCATTCTGAGCATAGGGGAGAGTCCAGACTTTACAGGCATTGTGGCTGGAGGTGGAATGCAAAGTTTGGGGAACAGCAAGTAGAATAATGTAGATAGAACGTAGTATGTGTGAAGGGGAATAATGTGAAGTAAGCCAAAGGTGGGTTGGTGTCAGACTGTAAAGGGCTTTAAATGCTAAGCTGTCCTTATTTTCTCAGCTTCCTTCCCTACTCCAACATAAACTAAACTGGAGCATAAGATAGACCTAAAACTGTTCTTTAAAAAAAATAACAAAATAAAATAGAGAGTATTGTCAGGTGTGTCTTAGTGAGGCAATACGTACTTGGGTAAAAGCATACCAAGAGTAGAGAAGGAAAAACAATTGGCATTTCTATTTGAAATGCAGCAAGAATTCTTGTGGTTTACAGACTGGGAGCCTGCTGGCTGCTGGCTCACTTGAAAGAAAAAGCCTTTTTTGGTCTGTTTTGCATCCAGAATAAGTGTATTTAAAACATATCTCATGTGTTTCTTTTTGCACTTAAGATACTTCTAATTTTACTCCCAAGTCTAATAGACCCAAAGATAGGTAACATCTTTCATCTCGACTATAGAACTGAATAATTCCTGAAGTCCCAATTTATTTGAAGTTATTAAAAGGAAGTCAACAATATAAAATACTCACTTGTACTTAAGAAAATTAGGTCTTTCAGTGGTCACTCTGTAGCCTGTCTGAATTGTTAAAACTGTTACTAACAAAACGTCCCGTAGTGTGCCAGTCCAGATCTACAATAAACAGACAACTTATTTAGAAGAAAGGTGTGGCCTGAAAATGAATATGATATTCTATTAAGTCCAGGCGATTTGGTGAGAGCTATAGGAGTTTTCCAGAAAAGTCTGTGAGTGAAATAAGATATAAAGTTAGTACATAGGTAACTGACATGCAGGAAAAGTACTGAAAAAGGGGACAGGAATTGGAAAGAGGGTTCAATAAACATTATGTTATGCACAAATGGAAAAATGTTGACTAAAAGATGAACCAAAAATTCGGGCCATTAGGAAAGTACAAGCAGTCCCCAATGTACATGTTCCAAAAGATCATCTGTTAAATCAGTTGTTTGGATCTCCAAATGCATTTTCCCATAGAAACAATGTCATAAATGATGGTTAAGTTCCCAGATTGTCCCACAAAAGCCTAATTAACCCATAATACAACCAAAAATACTTGTGATACTAATAATTAAATGCCAGAAAATAAGAAAATTGATTTAAATAATTTTTTAAAATCTAGTCAAATGCTTCAAATCTAGCTAGTGTTGAGAACACAAGAAAACCAAGGCTCACTTTTCACCATCTAACACCAGATCTGTGTTTGCTTGTTTCTCCAACCAAAATTAACTCTTGCTTGGAACCTCTACTTCAAACCACTCTGTAACCCTATTTGTTTGAACTTAGGCTTGGACTGTTGCACTACAGTGGTCACTCCCATGATTGTCTGGGGAAAACCGTGGAAGGGGAGGTATCTCAGTTAACTTAAGCTTTTTTTTCTCTGGGAGTCAGGAGGGTGGAGAAGGGTAGATTAGGATAGTAGAGGACTGAATTGAACATAGCAACATCAGAAATTAGGGGGACAAAATAGTTAGCCTAGAGTATAGGTTTCTGGCTAGACTTAGTTGTTCTGGTGGAGGTGAAGGTGGTGGCAAATTTAGTGCTGGCTGGAAGAAGGGAATGTTAAGGGAAGGAGGTCATCCACAAAGTAAGAAAGAAAGGAAGAGAAAGACAATGTCCCAGATGCCTGAATACTGATGGGCAAGATGGCTGCTTTGACAATATCTGTGAAGGGAAACAACTGTGGAGCCTTGGTTACAAATTAACCCTTGACATATAACCCTTGATAACCCTTGATATCTATATTCTACAAGACCTCTTACTATATTGCCTTCAAATTATGTAGTGAATGAATTAATGTTATTTTATGAAGTTTTATCTGCATGTATAGGTTGTGCTAGGTGATAGGGAGACAGATAAAATGAAACAGTAGCTAGCCTCAAGAACTTACATTCTATAGGGAGAGACAACACATACATATTTAGGTACATACAAAATATATGCAAAATAAAATAAAAGATAATTGGGAGAAACACTGTAGCGGGGAGCTTGTGCTGAGTTTGGAAAGAAACTGGGGACTCTCAGAGGCAGAGATGAGGAGGGAATACATTCTATATATATGGAATGGGTGCTTCCCCAAAGCCCCGATTACCTTTTATTTATTTTGCATATATTTTGTATATATCTATATATGTACATGTTACCTCTACCTATAGAATGTAAACTCTTTGAGGCTTGAGTGGAAAAGAGAATCAATCAGGGAGAAGTAAAAGAACTAACTATAATGAGGGTATAACTGAGATTGGATTGTATAAATGTGTAGTGGATTCAGTCAGCAGTCTTAATGACTCTCTAGCTCTATTTAGCAGCAAGTAGATGCAATGAAGGTAGATGATGGGAGTAATCCAGGATTGGGGTTTGGCAAAGCATGAAGGGTGAGAGGATAAGGCGGCAAGGGATTTGAGAGTAGAGGATTGTGTGATATTTCACTGGTAAACCATGAGGTGAAGCCTGAGAAAGGAAGAAAATGAAGCCAGAGAAGAAGTGACGGCCTGGTAGAATACTAAAGAATAAAGGAATTGGAGGGTATAGTGAGGACAAAGAATAGGTTTAGGAAGAGTGAGGCATAGGAAGAGATAGAAAGAGGTTAAGGTCTGATAAAGAAATTTCAGAATTCTTGATCACAGAATAGTGATGCTTATGGGTGACAGTGAGATCAAAGATGTGACTATCCCTGTTTGTGGCTGTGAACGAGAAGTTAGGAAGACTGAGGCCCCCCAGAGGAATTGTACTATTAACTACCATGTGAAAGAAAGCAACATCATTAAGAAATATAAATGAAAATCAAAACAACCCTGAAGCTTCACCTCACACCCAGCAAATTGGTAATAGTGACAAAAGATAGGAATAGTCAATGTTGGAAAGGTTGTGTAAAGACAGGCACAATAATGTATTCTCAGTAAAGCTATGAATTGCTCCAACGGTTCTGGAAAGTAATTTGTAATTACACAAATTAAGTGACTAAAGTATTTATGCACTTTCACAGCTAGGTCACTGATAGAAAGAAATGCTATATTCAACAAATATTTATAACAGTACCGGAAGCAAGGAAGATTTAGGAATGGCTAAAAAAATTGTGATATATAAATATAATAAAAGAATGTAAGACATGATGAAACTGATGAATTCAAGAGAAGCTTGGGGAACCTTATATGAATTGATGCAAAGTAAAGTCAGGGAAACAATATATATGACTACAACAATGTAAATGGAAAGAACTACCACAAAATAACTGTAACTGAATAATTCAAAATTATAAAGCACAAACTTGCCCTCAGATATGAGATATAAGAAGATATCACCGTCCATCCTTTGTAGATGGCAGGATCCATGGGTGTGAAACATCACATATAGCATCTGATTTTTTCAATGAATTGATTGTTTGCCAAATTTTTGTTCTTTTACCCCCTAATTCTTTGTTATAAAGAATAGGGTTTCTGGGAGGGATAAAGAGGGATATAAGGGGAAATGCAGGCAATGCCAAAACAAAAGATACCAAGAAAATTTATTTTAAAAAAATGATCAACTGGGGGATGAAATGTTTGAGGGAATATCAACATATGTATTGAGGTCTCTCAGCGTAATAGCAGGGGCTGAGGCAGATAGAAAGGCCCTGGGTTTTATATTGAACATCTAGAGACAAAAGGGATGATTACCAGAGGGTTGGTAGATAACTGTCACCTGCATCGTTGCTTTCATGAGACTGCCTATATACAGTAGTACTGAATTGGATAGCTCTACTCTGCATGCATTTATTAGTACAAACTGATGAACTAATATTTGACTCACCCCCTTAATAGACCAATTATGAGTGAAAACTAGCTTTAAAAATCAATATAAAATGTTCGTCATGACAATGTCTTTTGACAGCAGACACTAACAGTATGCAAGCAACTTCTCTCCTCTACAACTGCATCCCAGCAGTCTACAACAATGCTGCAATGTTTTAGATAGATTTTTAAGCCTTTAAAGTATCTGATTTGATTGTTCTGTGATAATCTTTTCTAAATAATAACAGCTAGCATTTATATAGTGCTTTAAGGTTTACAGAGCACTTTACAAATATTATCTTATTTTATCCTCACAACACCCTGGGAGGTAGGTGCTTTTATTATCTCTATTTTACAGATGAGGAAATTAAGGCTGAGGGTGGTTAAGTGATTTGCCTAGGGCCACACAGCTAGTAGGTTTCCAAGGCTAGATATGAACTAATGTCTTTTGGACTGCCCGTTTAGCTGGCTCAATTCACCATAAAAAAAGCTACCTGAATTAACTAGATTTTTTTCTTGCACTTTCTCCCCCCACTACCCTAGTCACTAGAGTTGGATGTCCATTATTGTGGGTTTGGTTCCAAAGACGTAAGATAAAATATTTCCCAGAGTATTTGAAATATATATATTTTTTTATTTCTAATTGGTTTGCTACAGCCTTATAACCTGAGTATGGAAAAGACTGACAACCTTACAGGTCGGTAAATTTTTTCTGCAAACCAATAAATTTTGTACCTATTTTCAACATTGCTGTATCAATCACTCAATCAGTGGCTGCATACTCATCAACATGATATGCTGGAAAGAGTCTAGATTTGAAATCAGGAGACAAACTTCTGTCTAAATCCCATATGTGATGCTTACCAGCTATGGCACCCTGAGAAAGTCACTTTAAGTTTCAGTTTCTTTATATATAAAATGAGGATTTAAGATTAGTGGAAAGAATACTGGATCAACACCCGGAGGTTTTGGGTTCAAATGCTTCTTAGTATTAAGTCACTTTGATGACTTACACAAGTTACAGCCTCCTGGCACCAGTTTCATAAAAGGAGGGGGCTAGACTAGATGGCTTATAAAGATCCTCTCCATTCCTAAATCTATCATTCTATTATCCTATAAAACTTATAGACATAAGTACAGATGGCATGGAATATAGGGTTGAACATGTAATGGCCCCAGCAATTGCCCTGAAACTTTTCTTTAATTATGTTCAGTTACATGATCTCAGTTTGCTCTTTGGTCTTGTGTCCTTTTCTCACACAGGGAGAATTAAGGATGTGCAGCTACATGACCTCCTGGATAGATTAACACAGATGCCTTTCACTAATCAACGTTTAAATAAAGCAACTTCCTTCCCCTAAGTGGTTTATTTAACTACAGTCTCATTTTCGGACATGCTGAGATAGAACTAATTTCTATAACCAGAGATTCCTACAGGACATTGAAAATATGTGACTGAAGTTGAATTCATTCACATGTATGTGGTTCTTATCATCACTAAAGCAGGTCAAGAAGTTATTAGGTACTCTCCCTTTGACAGAGAGAACTCTAGAAGAAGTCTGGATAATCGAAGTCCTTCACCACAACTATATCCTGCCTCTATGCCAAACTCCTCATTTCCTTCTTCTGTCTGGATAGTCTCCACGCAAGGGTGGGGTACCTGCAGCCTTAAGGCCAAATGTGACCCTCGAGGTCCTCAAGTGTAGCCCTTTGACTGAATCTAAACCTCACAGAACAAAATCACTTCCATTTATCATTTGATCTTCATTCAGATACTCTTCGTCATGCATCACCACTGGTTACTGTGTTTTGTCATAAGATTATACCTTCTTAACGTACAATGACATC